AACGATGAGTTTTAACACTTGCTAACGAAACTGAAGAAATATTTACATGTTTCGTTAAAGATGAATCACCAGAAAGTTTTTCTGTTTTTAATGAAGGTGATGAAGCCACCTTTAAAAGTCTTGTAGAAATTAAGGACTTGTTTGTTGAAGAAGATTTGTTGGAAGTAACAAAAGATTTTTTTGATTTTGTCAAAGGATTGAAATTTTCTTTAACGCTACTTGTATCATTTGTGTTTGAAACTTTTGAAATTGTTGAAGTACGAGATTTTGACGTCGTAGAATTCTTTGTAACAGATTTTGTAACAGATTTTGCACTAGATTTTGCATTAGATTTTGCACTAGATTTTACATTAGATTTTGCACTAGATTTTGCATTAGATTTTGCACTAGATTTTGAATTAGGTTTTGCACTAGACTTTGCGCTAGACTTTGCACTAAATATTGCACTGGATTTCGTACTAGATTTTGTTGAATCTTTTTCTTTTTGATAAGAAGAAGGTTTTGATGAGTCAGGACTTTTTGATAAAGTCATATTTGACTTACACTTTTTCAAAGGAGGAGAAGAAGAAGTTTTAGATGATATAATGGAAGGTCGTTTCGATATAACACTAACACTAGTATCTTTTTTTGAATGTGATACCACTTTAGTTGGAGACGATGGAGGAGTTACCAAAGATGAAAGACAATTCTTTCGAGTTATAGATTTTGATAAAGAATGACTTGAAGATTTACCATTTTTCGAAGTAATACTACTATTTGTAGAAGCAGTACTTTTTTCAGATGTTGAAGAAGAATCTTTAGAATGAGAAAATTCATCACAAGAATTTATATCAAAAGATTGAGGAACATCAACATTCATTAATGAATTTGATATTTGAGATACTTCTGATACTTGAGAAACTTGTAATGAATCTGAAACCAAAGAAGGAGAAAATTCGATAGTAAAAGATTGTCTTCTTGGTCTTTTTTGTTGTAATGGAACAGATCGAGGAACGATATTTTTGTTTTTAATATTATCAGGTTCAAAAGCATTATCATCTTGAACATCTAATCCAGCCCAAAAATTATCATCACCACCATCATCGTCGTATAATTTATAATCCATCATAGAATTATCTTTAATAGTATCAGATTGAGAAAGTGGAGAATTTTGATATTCACGTCGAGGAGGAAATAAAGTAAGTTTATCAATAGAATCAGGAATATGTAAATCATCAAAACTTTCATCATCTTCACTTTCGAAATTACTAGAACTTGGAGAAGGACTAACAATAATATTAAATCTTGAAGAATTTCTTGAAATAGAAGCACCAGACATAATATTAGCACCTTCAGAATCGAAAGCAACATAATTATCATCATAATAATAATAATAATCATCATTATCATCATCATCATCTTCACCACCATAAACTTTTAAAGCTTCAGTAGAAAAATTTAAATCATTAGAATCTAATAAATCAAAATCTTGATCAAAACTTTCAACAACTTTTTCAGAAGAAATACGTGGAATAGTAGTAATAGGAAGATCAACTCTTTTAACAACAATATTTTTTAAACTAGTAATATCAACATTTTCATGATTTGGGTCATTTGAATTAAGAAATTCATCATCCCAACTATTATTATTATAATTAAAAGATTTAGAATGATCACAAAGGGATAAACCAGCTTCAGGTATTTCCATATCATTATCCCAATCATCCATATCTATAACTTTTTTAGGATTGTCACCACCTAACATAGTAATAGTTCCAGTAAATTCTTTATTAGATAAAGAATTTTTTAAATCACCAATCATAGCTTTAACGGCGTTTAAATCATCGTC